TCTCCCTGCTCCTCTTACCCCCCTTCTCTGCCCCTGGCCTCTTCCCCCCCCCTCCTCACCCTGCCTCATCCCTCCTCCACCTCCTGCTCCATCTCCCCCCTCCCCTCGTCCTCTAGTTGTTATGTGTATCATTCCTTCTCCTCCTCCTCCTCCCTTCTTCTTTTTCTTCTTCTCCTCCTCCTTCTCCTCCTCCTCCTCCTCCTCCTCCTCCCGTCTTCTCCTCCTCATGCTTGTCCTCCTCCTCCTCCTCCTCCTCATCTCTAATTTTCGGGAGAAGCTGTGGCAACGAGGTCTGGTGCATGGGTCATCTGGTCAAGTGCTCTCCTCCGCCTCTTTCTTTATAGACGTTCGGCAAACTCAGATCGCCCCGGCAACCTTTCGACGGCCTGACGGGTGAACCAGCGGCGAGGTCACCGCAAAGGGTGCTTCACCCCCCCCAATCACGGGCAGCCCATTATTTCTACGAGGGGCGAGTTGCGGGTTGACGACGCCCATCAATACTCCTCAAACCACTATTCCGCCGCCGCCGCCGTCGCGGAGGAAGAAGAGTAGGGGAGGAGGAGCAGGAGGAGGAGCAGGAGGAGGAGGAGGAGGAGGAGGCAGGAGGAGGAGGAGGAGGAAGAGGAGGAGGAGGAGGAGGAGGAGGAGGAAGAAGAGACGGCCAAGGCGAACCGGGGGCCGCGTAGAGTTTCCTGCCAACCGGGAGCTCCAGGGGGAGGGGGGAGGGGGGCTGCAGCATCGAACACCCTTTGCGATTCAAAAATCAACCATTTTCGGCGCTGTGGCCTACACATCAAAATTAAGGGGCCCTGGGACACGCAAATAAATACACACAATTAACAGGATTCCCCACATTTTCCCATCTTTTCTTGGTTTCTGTCTTCCCCCCCACTTCCCATACTTTCCCATATTTTCTGGGAGTCGACGATGAATTTTGTGTCTGTGTGTTTTTCTCCCTCCTGATGAAAGCCAGGACGCGCGCAGCTGGACGAGGACGCAGGCCACACGGAGGCGGCGGAGAGACCCGCAGGGGGCCCACGTGGGCAGAGGGTGTGCGCGCGCCTGCTGGTCGCGTCAGGGGGGGATCGGGGCCACAGCGGCAGCGGCGGAGGGAAGGTCTAACAGCGGACCGCACGAGACGGGGAGGTCGAGGGAACGCAACTCGGGCGTTGGCAGAACTGGGCTCATGAAGGGGCCCTGGGACACACACAAATAAACACACACAAATCAAAGGATTCCCCATATTTTCCCATATTTTCTGGGCTTCTGTCTTCCCCCCCACTTCCCATATTTTCCCATTATCCTGGGAGTGGACGATTATGTGTCTGTTTTTTTTTTCCCCCTCCTGAGTTTAGTGGGACCTGGTTCAGTGCTGTGCACTGAAGGACGTTCCCCCCCCCGCCCCGTTCTACTACGCGGAGCTGCCGTCACCCGAAAAAGAAAAACCAGCTACGGCAAACCTGGTTTAATGATTCTGGCCAGTTTCGGGGCTCCGGGGCCCTACCACTAACCGGGTCCCCTTACCTGGGGTCCTGGCTATACCCGAGAAACACTACGCGGGCGGCAGTGGGGGCACTAGGGCGGCGATGATGTCGTGTAGGGCGCCAGGAGGTGCAACTAGTTACTCCGTCGATCGGACGGGCCCCTGGTGACTCCTCATGATCTCTCCAGAAGCTGACAAACAACTGCTGTCGACTCGTGACCATCTCTAGAGGGTCCGTATGGGTATTCCTGGCCCCCCTGGCCACTGGGCCTCTCCCTTGGATGGTAAACCGACAGAGGAAGCCGAGGAGGTACATACAGGGACGGCATGACCACGACGACGACGTTGTGGAGGAAGAAGGCCGCCGGCCCGACGTTGCGAGATGGCCTGCCTGGGAGGAGGAGCTGCGACGATGAGGACACGAACGACACGGGAAAACCCTCGCTGCGCGAAAGGCCGCCCGCCGACTGCGGCCCCCGGGGGCGCCTGGTCGAGCCTGTCCACCACGGCCGCGGCGCCGCCCTCCACGACGGAGGAGACCCGGCCCCAGACGCGCGCGCCGCTGCTGTAGGGCCGCGGTCTTTTCAGCACGCCCGAGGAGCGCGATAGAGTGCAATAGGGCACTGGGCTCAAGTACGATACGACAAGCTGCGATCACGAAACCTCGGCCCAGGTGCGAGACGGAAGCAGCACACACATTGTCTGTGGTATGACGCGTGGACTTTCAATCGCACGTGCTGAAATCGCACTTGAGCCGTGCGGTCTTCTTCCGCCGCAGCGGAGACGTCCAGAGACAAGGCTGTGTGCTTGAGGTGGTCCGTACAGGCTGGCTGCCTGTGAGAAGGGCCAGGCAGAGCGAAGCGAGAACGGAGCCGAGGGGGCCCATACCCAGGCCTCTGGCGACTCGCGACAGGCCGCGCTGGCGGCCCTTCACGGCGTCTCGGCACCGGAGCCGTCAAAGATCAACTTGGGATGACAAACAAGTCTTGGCACAAAGGGTACAGGGCAGTTTTTAATACATTGGATTTTTGAAATATAGGATCTTTAATACATGATTCAGTTATGAATGAATTAATGCGTAAACTCATCCTTGTATTCATTGATCAACCCTTTATTTCTAATACGTGGTCCCCCCGCGGAGCATGTATTAAAACCGGCGCTGTAGACTAAACCTGGTGGCCGGCGGCTGAAGCAGCAGTTGCCGCAGGTATGGGTACACGGATGGTTGTAAGTGCGCTGGTTTTGTCGTTTTTTTTGTCTGCTGTTGTTTTAGAGCCGATGCCTCCGCCCCGCACTCTGGGCGTCACGAACAACACGGCGGGACTTCGCTCGCCCGTGTCGGGCTCGGTGACACGTAAATATCGATCGGACTCGAGGGCTCGTGTAATGCCGCAACAAATAATCTGGCCGATACTTCAGGTCGCGACTTGTATGACTCTCAGGACATGGCCGGGCGGCTTTGTTCGGCCGTTTCGGGCCCAGGGACCCGCATCGTTCTGACTTGAGGAATCATTTAATGCCGCAACAGGTCATAGGGCCGAGAATTCAAGTGACGATTTCCTGACGAGCTGGAGTGCTTCCCACGTCGTCGGATTTGGAATGGTCACGAACGAAACCGACCCAAGACCCGAGAACTGGTCCGCGAACCGAATCGAATCAATCGGATTTGACCGACCAGACCGCGATGATACCCAAAAAGCCTGGTCTCCTCCATGGGTGCATGGCGCAACATCCAGGAACCCTCTCATGGTACTCCTGTGCGCACATGCCTGGAAGTGGGAGACCGTTCGTGACGCTACCAGACGGAGGAGGAGGAAGAATACTGCCCGCATGCGTACAAATATACGTGCGAACGCCGCGTTCCGCACGCAATAAGTCAGCACGAACCCACGTTGCGGCAATGCTGAAACCTCGTCGTGTCCTCGCGAAATCCATCTCAACTTTCGGATGCCGCTTTGCCAAGACGCCACGAGTTGGTGGCTCGCTCCACTCCGCGACCACCGGTTCAGGGGTGCAGGAGCTGGCGAACAACATATGCCGATCATGGGCCGAACGGGCAAAGATGCAAGGACAGCCTTGATGAAGTACTGCACCCTTATTCTGGTGGTCCACTGTAGTGCCTGGGCGAAGGGCCTTGGCCTGAGACGCCCCGCAAACAGAAGCAAGCACGAGCGGCGGCGGAACCGGCGCCTGGGCTCTGATGGCCTGCAGTTCTCGTCCTCGATCTCCTCGTGCTGCTGGGAGCGCGTACCAATCCCACATCCTCCACCGTCCTTACCCTTCTCTTCCTCCCGAAGGGCCCCCTTGAGCTGCCTTTGGGCGGTAGTTTGATGCACTCGCGAGCTCCAGAAGGCTCGCTACACGATGATATTCACAGGTCTCGAATAGTCAGTTGTATAACAAACTGTGCCCATATATCGAAACTCTCTAGAAATCAGCGTTGTGGCCAGGCTGGTGATCGGGAGCGAGACACGGCCGGACAGTCGTACCAGAAATGGAACCGTATCCAAGGACCACCTTGATATCAAGCCATCGACACCGACGCAAATGTCATCAACAGCATCGTCAAACCCAAACGGCTTCCCTCCTCACTCCTCCTTTCTCTACCCCCTCCTTGTCCTCGCTCCTCCCTCTCCCCCATCCCCGCAGAGCTCCTCCCTTCTCCTTGCCCTCTCTCCCTTCCTCCCTCTCTCCTACCTGATCCCTGGTCCTTCCTCGTCCTTCTACTCCTCCTCTTCGTCCTCCTCCTCCTCCTCCTCCTCCTCCTGCTCGCGCCTCCTCACTCCCTCCCTCCCTCCCTCCCTCCCTCCCAGAGGAACTCGGTTTTTCAAATCGTCGGCCCCTGGGAGCGCTCGAACCCCTGCCAACACCGATTTCCATCCTGGGGCACTCTTGCCCTCGGCCTCGAAGGCCCGGAGCCGGCCCCCAGGCGCGCGAGAGACTCTGCGACGGAGCCCTGGCGACCCCCCCAGGGCCACCAGAGGAGCCTGGCCCCTGGAAGGAACGTCTTAGAACGCTCTGGCCACTCCCGAGGCCCGAGGCAAACCTCCTCGAGGTGAAGCATCGCCACCCGGTCTGGGAGCTGCCGCCCCGGAGCAACGCGGCCGTGCACCACCCAAGCGTGAGGCACCCCTCGGACGGCGCCCGGCCCCCAGGAGGGAGGAGGGCCAGCCAGCCCGAGGAGGCAGAGGCGGAGAAGACTGGGCCCCGGTGACGGGGCTGGGGATCGGAGCAGTGAGTATCGTCTAACCGATCCCCATCCCCAGCGGCGTGGCCTGGGCCCCACTGGCCGATTTACCCCCCTAGATGGGGATACAGGTCGTTCCCTTCGGGTTCCGAGGGGTGTATCCCCAACTGGGGTGGTAGTTTGGTGAGGGTCTCGGAGGGGATGGGGATGGGGATGGGAATCGGATCAACGATGCTGAGGGCTGGGGATCGGAGCAGGGCGAGCTGAGACGACGGCGGCTTAAAATCGGTCCCCGGACCCCTCCTCGGGCCCCCGTCGCACCAGCCTTCCGAGCTGCGCCCTGCCCCGGCGACGACGCCTCCCCCCCCCCCCCGAGGGCCAACTGCCGTTGTCTCAACTCCCCCTCCTCTGCGGGGGTGGGGGCTAGGATTGGGATGGGGATGGGGATGGGGATGGGAGGAGGAGGAGGAGGAGGAGGAGGAGGAGGAGGAGGAGGAGGAGGAGGAGGAGGAGGAGGAGGAAGAGGAGGACAAGCTAGGTGCGCTCGCGTCATATCTGACGTCCTACCCCTCCCTCCCATCCCTTACCATGGCGCTGATTTTCTCTATCCGCGGACGCGTGTCGTAGCGGACCTGTGGCTCCGCGCGCGCGTGCGTAGTGGGTGGTGGTGCGCGTGCGTGCGTGCGTGCGTGCGTGCGTGTGTGCGTGTGTGCGTGGTTGTGTGGTGGTGGTGGTGGTGGTGTGGGTGGGGTGGTGGTGGGTGGGTGGTGGGTGGGTGGGTGGGTGGGTGGGTGGGTGGGTGGTGGGTGTGTGTGTGTGTGTGTGTGTGTGTGTGTGCGTGCGTGTGTGCGCGTGTGCTGTGGCATGGCACGGGAAATGACGCCAGCGCTGCAGAGGGAGCACGAGTCGAAACGAGCGGAAGCGCGGAAATGATGCCACCGCTGCAGCGGGAGCACGATTCGGAACGAGCGGAAGCACGGAAATGAGGCCAGCGCTGCAGCGGGAGCACGATTCGGAACGAGCGGGGCCCGAAAATGAGGCCGGCGCCTCAGCGAGAGCAGCATTTTGAAACAAATGCAGGCGAAAACCCAACTCTCGGGAATCCTGTGTGTAAAAAGACAGTACGCGGGGGGGGGTCGGCTACTTTCAGGCCGCCTTCGGGGGAAGAGGGAGAGTAGTATTCATATTGAGTAATTGTGGAGGAGGAGGAGGAGGAGGAGGAGGAGGAGGAGGAGGAGGAGGAGGAGGGAGGGAGGGAGGGAGGGAGGGAGGAAGGGAGGGAGGGGGAGGAGGAGGAAGATCAGGAGGGAGGAGGAGGGCACGGGCCCGGTCCGCGCGGCCCCCCTGGCTCCGCGGACTCGAGGGGGGCTTCCGAGGCGCCGCTGACGCCCATCACCACGACATCGCCTCCCCAGGCGCGCCCCGCCTGTCTGCTCCTTCTCCTCCTCAGCGGCTGTTCCTGCTCCAGCTGCTGCCGCTGCTGCTCCTCCTCCCGCTCCTCGGCCTCCTCCTCTCTCGTCACCGTCCACCTCCTCTTAGCTCCTCCCCTTCCTCGGCCTCCTCCTCCTCTCGTGTGCTCCTGCTCCTCCTCTTCTGCATCCTACTGCTCCTACTCCTGACCCTACTGCTCCCGCTCGTGCTCAAGATTTTGCTCCTGCTCCAACTCAGACCCATCCTTGCTCGTGATGAGTAGGGACCCCCCAGCTCTGCCAGCCACCGCCCCGATGGCCAGTCTGAGCGGGCTTTCCCCCCTGACCATCAAGAGCAATCATTCCGAAATCAAATTTTCTCCTCTCAACGTGGACGTTTGGTCGCCGACTTTGGGAATGGGACGCCTAGAGCTGCACTGCAGACACGAACTCGCAGGGAAAGGCGCAGAATCCTCGACCTCCGTTAGGACCCGCAGTCAGCGGTTGTCAATATCGGGTTTGGTGTGGTGGTCGAAGATCTGCGGTCTTCACTGCCTCTAAGAGGGCCCAAAATGGCCACAGGAGGACCTCCAACAGGGTCAGACAGACGAAGCCACAATCATGGAATCCCTTCGGGTTTTGAATGATGCTCGTTCTCTCGCCTTTCCGGGCTGTCGTCAGCTCAGGACGGCCCAAGAGGACTCCACGATGGCCCAAGAGGCATCTGAGACTGCTTCAAGACGGCCTCTCGTGGGACCCAAGGCGGCCTTAGAAGACCCTTCGACGGCCCAAGACGGCGCCAAGACGGCCCCCAGACACCGACCATGCGACCAAGATGGCCCCACGACGGCCCGAGAGAGCCCCAAGCTGGCGTAAGAAGGCCCCAAGACGGCTCCCAGGGACCCCCAAGACTGCTTCACAGGAGGCCAGGACAGCCCCGAGACGGCCCAAACGAGTTCTATCATCATCATCGTCATCGTCATCATCATCATCATCATCATCATCATCATCATCATCATCATCATCATCATCATCATCAGCATCACTATCATCATCATCCTCGTCGTCATCATCATCATCGTCATCATGCTCACCATCATGACCATCATCATTTTCACCACCACCACAACCATCACCATCACCATCACCATCACCAGCATCAGCATCAGCATCATCATCATGATCATGATCATGATCATCATCATAACCATCATCACCATCACCATCATCACCCTCACCATCACCATCACCCTCATCATCCTCATCACCGTCATCAGCATCCTCATCATCCTCATCCTCCTCCTCATCATCATCGTCGACATCACCATCAGCAGCATAAGCATCAGCGTCGCCATCATATTCGTCATACTTTTCATCATCACCACCACCACCATCATCCCCATCTTCATGCTCATCGTCATCATCGTCATCATCGTCATCATCATCATCATCATCATCATCATCTTCATCATCATAGGCATGATCATGATCATCCACACCATCATCATCATCATCATCATCATCACCATCATCGCCATCATCGCCATCATCATCATCATCATCATCATCATCATCATCATCATCATCATCATCATCTTAACCACCACAACCATCATCAGCATCATCATCAGCATCATCATACTTATTATTAGTATTGCTATTATTATTGTCATTACTAGTATTAGGACCACTATTACTATTAGTATTGCCATTCTTGTTCTCCAAATAGGGTTGCCCTATAGGAGTCCTGGCTCATCATAAGCAATTGGTCTTCAGGACCCCCCCTTTTTCCAATGCCCCCCCTTTTTCCAATGGCCACCCCCTATTTCCAATGGCACTTGCTTGCTTGCTCTTGCGTGCTTGCTCTCGCTTGCTTGCTCTTGCTTGCTTGTTATTGCTCGCTTGCGCTGGCTTGCTTGTGATCGCTCGCTTGCGCTTGCTTGCTTCCGCATGCTTGCTTACGCTTGCTTGATTTTTCTCCTCCCGTTCTCCTCCCGTCGTCCTTTCGTCCTTTTCCCATCCTCCTCTTGTCCTCCTCCTGTCCTCCTATCTATTTTGAGTCAACGCTGGCTGATATGATTATTATTATCATCATTATGTTTATCATTAACATTCGTATCAGCATCACCACCACCATCATCAGCATCAGCATCAACAGCAACATCATCCTCCTCCTCCTCAGCAGCAGCAGCAGCAACAACATCAGCATTATCATCAACGTCGACGTCATCGGCACAAAGCATAGGAGCCTCCCGTTGGAGCCTCTTCCAAAGGCGGCGGATGAGGAAGAGGAGGAAGAGGAGGGCGCGCGCGGAGCTCCAGAGAAGCCAACGGACAATGGCCTGTGGAGAAGATCGGGGCGACCCCCTCCAATGGAAAAGGGCCCGCCCTGCAGGTTCGGTTGGCGGTGCAGCAACCTTTTTTCTGAGCTCAGCCCCCCCCCCGCCCCGGAACATCAGACAGACAGGCCGGGTTCAGGGCTGAATCTAAACGGTGTTTTACGTTTTCGTTCTGCTTTCATTTTCCCTCGTTTTGTCTTCAATCCGCCTTTCCGCAAAACGACATCGAAACGAAAACACCCCACGAAATCGCCAAAATACCGTTTGGGTCCACCCCTGGTCGGGTTTGCTCCCTCATGCCTTGCGGCACCCTCTCCCCCAAACCTCGTCGGGGCCGCCGACGAGGGAGAGAGCGGCATGCCGACGCGTCCGGGAGCCAAGCCGCAGCGAAGCTCGGACCCTGGCGGGTGCGCAATGCCAGGGCAACCCGACAGACGACGACGGACGGACGGACGGACGGACATAATGACATACAGACAGGCAGGCAGGCAGGCAGGCAGACACTCAGGGCGGCAGACAGACATATAGAACAGGACAGGACAGGACAGGACGAGGAGGAGGAAGAGGAAGAGGAGGAGGAGGAGGAGGAAGAGGAGGAGGAGGAGGAGGACGAGGAGGAGGAGGAGGAGGAGGTCGCCGCATGGCGGGCGGGCGGCGGGCCTGGCAGCAGCTCGGGCACCCAGCTGCAGAAGGGGCCGGGGCTCCGCGGGACGGCGGCCTCGCCGCCCGCGGGCGGGCGCAGGGGCTCGTACCCCAGGGCCTCGCGGGAGAGGGGGGGCGGGGGGAGAGGGAGGGTACAGCAGGTCCGTGCCGTGCCGTGTCGACCCTGGCGTTGGTTCCTGACACCGCGCTGGATCGTTCAACCTTGAACGATCGGCCGTCTCCGCAACGTCCGATCGTTCAACATCGACCGATTCTGGGCCGCCGTCGGCGTTCAACGTTGAACGTCGGCGGCGGGGTCGCCGCCGGTCGACACGACGCGAACCTGCCGTACAGTCGGGGCGTTGACCTAAGGAACCCTAAATAAGGGACGAGGCCCCTTTTCCCCACAAGTTGAACTTCGATGTCCCGTGGGAAGCCCAGCGCAAACGGTGTAACAGTCAAGGAACACCGAGCCCCTCGAAAACGGAAAGGGTTCCTTCTTCAGGGCCCCGACTGTAGGGAGCGCGACAAGGGACGCACACGTACACGAGTCCACTTGGGTTTCGATGAGTGCGCATTGCGCGGACGTTCGTATCACGCGGCCGCGGTCTCGCGGATTGGGGGGGCGGTGTTCCTGTGCGTGGTTGGGCGCGTCCGTCCATCGCGGGCTCCCTGGAGGCGAGGAAGGGGACCAGCGGATGACCTGTCGTGCAACTGCAAGGAACAGGAGCATGGGCCAACATGTGGGCCCTGCGCCCTGCCCGCCTCACCACTCAAGCCATCCAGAGCTGGCGAGGAGGTAGATTTTTGCTACTTCCGCGTGACAGTCGTTACCGGGGGGGGGGGGGGCGGGCAACGGCAACGCTTGTGCGGGGTGTGGGGGCACGTCGGCGCGTGGGTGCGCTGCGATCGCCATAGCATGCGCGCGAACGCCACGCTATGCCTGCGAACACGACAAGGGTCTGAGATTCGATCACCTGCGCAAGGCCTCAAAGCGTCGGCAGGACTCCTGCGAGCACCGGCACTGGCACCAGCGAGCGCCAGCCAGGCCCCCCCCCAAAACGTACGATCGTTACCGTCGCCGCCGTCGCCATTGCCGTCGTCACCATCGCCGTCGACGTCGCCGTCGTCGTCGTCGTCGTCGTTGTCGTCGTCGTCGTCGGTCGTCGTCGTGGTCGTCGGTCGTCGGTCGTCGTTCGTCGTTCGTCGGTCGTCATTGTTGGTCGTTGGTCGTCGTCGTCGTCGTCGGTCGTCGGTCGTCGTCGTCGTCGTCGTCGGCGCGTTCGTCGTTTGCGCACGCCAAGGGTGGGGCTGGGTCGGTGTTCTTGAGCCGCGATTCGCCCCCTCAAGCCCCCCTGCCTAGCCCCCGCAAGAAGCGCACGTTCACATTGGGGGAACGGTGCTTCAGCAAGCGGCCCTCTTGGCGGACAAGGAGGGGGCTAGGAGGGGGGGGAAGAACAAGAGGGGCAGAGCTGGAGCCCGGAGCTCCCAGATCTCGGCCGTCAGGCTGTCGTCGGCGGCGGTTGGCACGCGCGGGGGTTGCCGATCCCCGTGTACCCAGCAAGGCGCTGCAGTGGCGGCCGTCGCCGTGTCACTTGTGACTGCTGCCGCCGTGAAGTTTGACGTGCGCGGGTTGGTGAAGCCATGAATTAAGCACTGGGCTGGCGCACAAGAACTACATTCGTGCTGCATGGCGAATCGCGCAAGGCGGTGGCCCTCTTCATTCGAGTACCGCCTTCTCCGTTCTACTGCTTCGCTACCATGTGCGGGCCGGCACCATTTCCCGCCCATGATGAAGCCAACACCGTTTCGGTTAAAACGCATTTGTCGTACGCAACCTGACCATGTCAAACACGCGCGGGGGTGCGACACATCGTCCTGCCAACGATCCAAACACGAATGTGGAAATGTTTGTTGGCTCTACAATGGAAAAAAGCTTCGCCAACCCCCCACGCCTGATTTTTGGGCAATAGCCCAGGATCCAAATCTCGAGAAATGGACCCGTGCGCACAGACAAATCCTGTTCCTGCTCATCTAAGACAAACTTGTTGCTGGAGGGCTGAGGGACCGAAGCGGGGATGGGAAGAGAAAACATGATGCGGATCATGGATAATACTCGCATGTGCATCTATACAGATCTATCTATACATTCACAGCGCAGCGAAGAAAAAGGGACGAGGTCACCCCGCAGTGCGTGGGGAGAGACTGAACAAAAGCGTCTCACAAGCAAGCTGCTGGAACTGAGCCTGCACTGCTTCACTGCTTCGATGCTTCATCGTCCCTTCTTGGTCTACGCCGCTTCGCCAGCAGTGTCGTTGCTTGGTCGCAGTCTGGGTCTGTGGAGGAGGGGTGATGAATGGAGCAAGGAGACAAAGGAGGGGGACAGGAAAGTTAATGAGGAGGCATGGGGGTGATGAACGAGGAGGAAGGCAAGAGGGAGGAACTGGAAGAGAGGCGGCAAGGAGGAGGGGGCAGAAAGGAGGAGGGGGCGAAAGGAGGATCATGGAAAGAGCAAGGATAGAGGCGGCGGGGAGGGAGAAGGATATTGCCCCCCCATGGCCCTGGGGCGTGACTGCGCGCCTCTGTTGGCACGCGGGCGCAGTGCCTCCCATCAACCGCCCAGCCAGCTCACGCCCCCAACGACCCCACCGCGAGGCGGGCGGGCGGGGGACCGACCTCGCTGGCCACCAGGCGAAGCTCGGCCGCCACCCTCTGGCCAACCTTCCACAGGAAGCCCAACCCCGAGACCCTGGGGAGTCCACGGGCTTTTGGTGTGAGAACGTCACTGCGTTCGCAAAACCATCGAAACCCAAGAAACCCAGGGCACCCTGGAGGCAAGCAAGGTGTGTCTTGGCATGGGCCTCCACTGTACGGACGCGGCACTGCCCCTCTCCATAGGCGCGGCACAGCACAGCACACGACGACACCGCACCACGGCTAAGGCAACGCGGTCCGGCACTTTTGATCGCACACCGACCCCGCGTGCTCGAGCAATCCCGCGAGCCGCGGCCCTCCAGAGAGGCAGTGGGCTCCAGGACGGCAGCAGCCGCAGGCGCCGCCACTGCTGCCAATCCTCCTGCCGCTGCTCGAGGAGTTTTGCTCAAGAGGAGGGGTAGGGAGGGAAAGACGAGGGAGAGGAGGGAATGGGGGGGAGGAAGGCCTGCAGGAGGGTGGAAGGATGGATGTGGAGGGGTTCAGTCATCCCCCTTTAGCCTCCTGCCTCTTCACCTTCCCCTTTCTACATACCCCATCGCTCCCGCCTTCTCTAGAACGGTCACCCCTGCGCGGTTTGTTGGTGTCTTTTCCCCTCCCTAGAAGCTGGCACTGCCCCATCTGCCCTCTTCGTTCTTTGACTTCTCTTGCTCCTCCTCCTCCTCGTCCTCTTCTGTCGGTTCTCCCTCCTCTCCTCGTCCCTCTCCCCTGGCCCCTGCCCCCAAACATCCGACGTCATGCTTCCGCTTCACAGCGAGGGCCTCGATTGGGAACCCCCAAACCAGGTGGTGAGATACCAGGTGGCGACCTGGAATCCCCAAAAAGGTCACCGCTGGGTTTGGGGACGCGGGGTCACCACCGGGTTTTGTGACTCCTGGACCCACCAGTGTCTGGGACATCCTCGGAAAACCGCACGAGTCCCCAAACCGGGTGGTGACACCAAATCGCCCGAGACTCACCGCCAGGTGTTGTCACCACCACGTTTGGGGATTACCAACTCGAGGGCCCCCCCTGGAGCTCTCGACTCCCCCCCGGGGCCAAATTTTCGTCGTGAGCTGCTCGCGATGGCCCCAGGGCCCGGGAGAGGCCGAGATCGCAGCCAACACGCGCGCCGTGCCCTTCTCCCCGCGGCGCCAGCTGACCTCCCCCCCCGAGAGCAGCGGAGGAAGGACACATGAGGAGCAAGGTTCGAGGATCGAGGCTAGAGGATCGAGACTAGGGGCGGATGTTCCAAGATCTGGCCGATGGTCTGTAAAACGACGCGAAGATCGGGACAAAATCGGATCGGGATAACTCGAAATCTCTGAGAATCGGCGGGTTTGGAGGATGTATTGGGCGCCGCGGCCGCTCCAGAGCGTTCCGGAACGCTCTGAGAGCGCTCCGGAACGCTCTGGAGCGATTTATCCCGATCCTAGCCCTGTTTTAGTCTGGCCCCCCCCCCTCACCATTCCTCCCCTCAGTCCCTGGCCCCGGCCCCTGGCCGGCCTCGAAGAGCCAGGGGTCTACCATGCGCGCCCGCTCGAGGTGCTCGGGGCCAAGCTCGCTCCGCCTGAAGAGCACCAGGGGATCCCCCCTGCCTTTTCCTCGCCCTCGCCTCCACTTAGCCTCCTCCTCCTCCTCCTCCTCCTCCTCCTTTCCCTTCCTTACCTCCTGATGCTCCTCCTCCTCCTCCTCCTCCTCCTCCTCCTCCTCCTCCTCCTCCTCCCCCTTGTCTCAAGCCGCGAGACACAACCCGTGGAACATACTCACTCATTCTTGTAAACTGCCGCAATATCATATACTTCTCTGCAAACTCTCTATTGAGGGGTGATGTCGAAATGAAACGGAGACCCCCCGCTGGAAACAGGTTTCGGGTTCGTGTTCGTGGCGTGCGTGCGGGCGAGGCTGTGAGCGCGGGCGACAAGTGTGATCCCACCGTTGCTGGGGCGACGTCGGATCAAACAACTCTCTTCACGCCCAAGTGGCGGTTTTCGGGGCTAGCCCTAGTCAAAGCGCGATTGCAGCTGGTTCCAAGTCCGCGTCGCGGACTCTTGCTCCAATTCTGTCTGGCACTCTGCTCGCTCATCTTCGATGTGACGAACCTTCGCTTCGGGATCCACGTGATTCTCGCGCTGCCACATGCGAGCGGGTCCGCCATGAAAGGCACGTCGACCGCCAGTGCCCTGACGCGAGGTCTTCATTGCAGATCTCGCGCGCCCAGGCCGACGCGACATCGTGTGTCTTGGACTCGCGATGTTCACCTTCGCGTTCAACAGTGTAGCTGCGCTGATACTTGCGCGTCTGTCCTTCACACCGTTCAATCCAACCCCTCTTTTTGGACACCCGAAATGGGTACCGAAAGAATGGGTACAATGCCCAACAACAAATGTTGTCCCAAACCAACAGCGGCCGCTGTTGGGCAGGCGGCCTCCTGTCTCGAATGGACACAGGCCGCGGCGGCGTGGACAGCGCGTCCTGTTCAGAATGAACAAGAACTGCTGTTGGGGATCGTACCCATTTTTTCAGTACCCATTTCGGGCGTGCAAACTCTTGGCCTCTCCCTCATCGCGGGCGACCGGGTCCAGAAGGCGCCGCGGCGCCCCAGGGGCCTCGAAGGGCGCGGCAACATCGCAGGGTGTCGCGGCGCCTGTGGGTGCGCACTCGGCGGCCTGGTGTGTCCGAAGGCCACGTCCAAGCAAACGCACATGGGCGGCGCAGACAGACCACTTGGTTTCACGTGTGTGCATGGGGAGGCCCCCGACTCCGTGTCCAGAACACCAGCCGTGGTGCAATACATATATATATATATACACACACGTACACATCCATATATATATATATATATACATATATAGGTATATACAACATAAACAATTGCGGGAATAATCCCACCCAATCGCTGAACCATTGCTGCGTCGTTCTGGCTGTACAAGGCCACCCGTTAGCGCGCGACGCCCCGCGCCAGCACGTGTCTGGGGGCGCCCCCGTAGTGGTAGGCTTGGGGGGCGGCGTTGCTGCTGCTGGTGCCCACCAGCGTAGCACTCGACGAGTACCACTCGACGAAAACAGAGCACTCGACGAGTACCGAACCGGGTGGCGCACCGTGTGAATCAAAAACGTCGCGCCTATGACCCTCGCTGCCCCCCCCCTCGGTGTCCAGCCTCGGGCTCAGTCCCCGTCGACTCGACCGTCGACTTGCTTTGGCTGCGGCCGCCGCTGGTGCAACTGCCTGGGGTCGGGGCTAAGATTCCTTCATACTCGTGCGGTGTGCCGGCTTTGGCCATCAACTCTCCACACGCTGATGTGTCAAACTCGGAGCTTTTGGGTCGTAGGGCATGCTTAAGTCCAGTTTCTTTCCGATCTTCATCATATGCCAGAAGATGATCTCAATGCCTGTAACCCGAACGTCCATCCGTCGTCCAGTTCGAATTCTTTACCGCCCAGGGTGGTTCCCCCGTCGAGTTGGGGCAGAGGCTTGTCTCGCAGTGACTGGCACTAGAGCAACTGCCATGGCCAATTTGCTGACTGCCGTCTGGCAGACGCTGCGAGCAGCACTGACCGCTTTCGAAGACGATGAGACGAGGCACTGCCTTTCCTGATGCAGTCGAGGTTGATTGGAGAGGACACGCGAGAGGACACAAGACTCTTCCGAGGGCCACGCTGCCGTAGGAATGCCGAAGGGATGGGTCGCGAAGCACAAAGACACGAGGGCAACCTCGATCTGGCAGGGTCGAGACGCTGAGCGGCCTCGACCGCGCAGCTGCTCCGATTTCTGACCCTGTGCGACGGCGCGGCGACGGGGAGCCTCGGTGCGTTTCTGCGCCCGTTTCGCTCGGCCAGCAGACGCGTTCCTGCCATCATCTTGTTTCTGGAGCTCGTCGAGTTGGGGCTGGTACTTGGCTGTTGCGAAGACACAGAAAAATCCTCAGAAGAGCATCCTCCAGAGGTGCCAACACTACGGCCGAGGAGGGCAGCCGTCGTGGCGAGCCGTCCAGTACGTGGAGGAGGTCAACCAGAGTGGCGAGCCGCTGCCTCTCGGGGCGCGCCCAATCCACTTGTGGCCAGGCGCAGCCATCCAGATCGAAGGCTTCTTCTCTTGACCAGCCCCCGCGACGAAACGATGTATGCACTGGGGCGCCGGGCGCCCAGGCTCGTGTCGTGCCGACTGCGGCGTTGATATTTGACACCGCGGGGATCGTTCAAGGGCGCCTCCTGTTGGCGGCACCCTGGAGGGGGCAGCGGGAGGGGGGCATCTCTCTGACAAGGCTGGGCGCTTCTTACCGCGGGTTCGTGTCGTGCCGACCCTGGCGTTGGCTCCTGGCACCGCGGGAATTGCTCAACCTTGAACGATCGGTCGTTTCCGAAACGTCAGATCGTTCAACATCGGCCGATTCTGGGTCGCCCACAGCGTTCAGCGCTGAACGCCCTCGGTGGGGCCGCCGCAAGTCGACATAACGCGAACAACCTGGCATACGTGAGCAAGAGTCCCACTGTTGGCCGGTGTCCGAGGGAGCGGGGCTTTGAAGCGCTTGCATCTTGCACCACGGCACCAGCCGACATCTTTTGCCACATTTGCAAGCGCATTTGACGAATACTGACTCATCGCACGCGGTGCCCTGGCCTGACATGGCTGCCGATGAAGGAACGGTTGCGGGGCCTTCCGACGTCGCCTCAGTGGCGAGACGTACCGGTAGCATCAAGAACATGCAAAAGCGGAGAGAAGCTATGCAAGAAAGCGGCCGCAGACCCCCCGACGAGGACTGAGGCGGATTTCCTCGCGGCCAGGGCCTTGAATGTGAGGGTTCAGAGTTCCCGCACGCGGCCTTGAGGCAAACTGGCTCGATTATCTAACTCCTCCCCCTGCTGCTGCTGCTGCTGCTGCTGCTGCTGCTGCTTCTGCTGCTGCTGCTGCTGCTGCTGCTGATGCTTCTGCTGCTGCTGCTGCTGCTACTACTGCTGCTACTGCTGCTGCTGCTACTTCTGCTGTTGCTGCTCCTCCCCCTTTGCCCTTGGGAAGGGCCAAGCGCATCCCCAGGACGACATACCCCCAATGAGATGTCGCAGCGTCCACGGTTGCAGCCATGGTGGGCGCCAACACGCAGCAGCTGGGAGCCCCGAGGTGGGCCCTGAGGCCCCCTCTCTCTTGGGGGGGGGGCTAGTGTTCGGGGGAGGTGGGGGAGAGGAGGAGGAGGAGGAGGAGGAGGAGGAGGAGGAGGAGGAGGAGGAGGAGGAGGAGGAGGAGGAGGAGAGGAGGAGGGAGGAGGAGGGGAGGAGGGGGAGGGAGGAGGGGAGGAGGAGGAGGAGGAGGAGGAGGAGGAGGACTGTTCTGGGATACGTTTGGCCTCCCCTTCTGCCCTCCGCCCCCTGGGCGTGGCCACTGCGGCTCTGGCCCACCGCACCTCGCACCGCACCCCGCACCCCGCCGATGCCGCTCCGATCCCGGGACCCTGGCCTGTTGTGGTCCATCGCGTAAAAGCTCAGCGCCTCCGCCCGGTCCCGCACCTCCGGCGTGGTCGTCATGGTGGTGGTGGTGGTGGTGGTGGTGGTGGTCGTCGTCGTCGTCGTCGTCGCCGTCGTCGTCGTCGGAGTCGTCGTCGTCGTCGTCGTCGTGGTCGTGGTCGTCGTCGTTGGCGTCGTTGCCGACGACGACGAACCGCACCTCGCGCCCGTGGGTCTTGGAGCGAGTGGAATTGGGCGGCTCCTGCGCGGCAGGGCGGAGGGCCGCCGCCGCCGCGGTTGCCGTCGTCGCCATCGGAGATGGGGGAGGGCGAGGCGGAAGGCGAAGAGGGGCAAGGATGTGGGGAAGGATGTGGGGAAGCAAGGGGGAGGAGGGACAGAAGGAGGAGGAGGAGGAGAAGAAAGTGGATGAGGAGGAGGGGGAGGTGGAGGTGGAGGTGGAGGTGGAGGAGGAGGAGGAGGAGGAGGAGGAGGAGGAGGAGGAGGAGGAGGAAGAGGAGGATTTTTGCACCCCACCACGCCAGCGCACACACACGCCAGAGGTCCAGTCCCAGCAGCAGCAGCAGCAGCAGCAGCAGCTGGGCGGGCGAGAAAGAACACACTCCTCAGGCCGACGCTTCCCCGGGCGTGTCGCAGACATGTCAATTCACCAGCCAGGGACGGCCGACAAGCCATCCCCGCCAAGACAGGACGAGCAGTCAGGATCATCGGAGAGATCCGACGACAAGGGATGTGAAGAATGGGCGTCCAACCCATGCCAGATAGCCACTGTGTCGCAGTCGTTGGCGCCGCATGGCCAGAGGACTGGGGGAGGCGGAAGGCCTTGCTGCTGCCATCTGGTCCTGCATGCTGGGGAGAGCGTCTGTCGGGCCAACATCAGCTCGAGTGGCTGGCTGGCCTGCAGGGACGCGTTCCTCCCCTGGACAGAATTAGCTGAAGGAGGCATGAGTCCTTGCTGCAACCTCCTCCTCGTGAGAATCGAAGCGGCTCTCGAGCCGACCTCGGCGGCCTCAGATCGGCTCGGGGCTCTGGCCGCAAGAGAAGGCCGGCTCGGGGCAGCCCCGGCACAACCCCCTCCCTGCGCCGTCAAAGTGCCATCGGTGTCCCCATCATGATCAGACTGGGCACCCTCCACCAGCTCTGCGCCAGTCTTGGGATGGCGACCCAAACAAATCTGCCTCCGAATGTGGCGGCGGCCTTGTCTCTCTTGGCCTTAGTAAGTGGACCAACACACCTCCTAGCCAAGCCACGAACCTGGCCACCACTAGTATAATACGTACATGACATGCAGGCTAAGATAATGCCGTCCCCATCACAGTAGTCTAGCAGAAAGGGCTTATGAATGTTGGCCTGAAGAGAAGCCCCCGTGAGTCTTTTGAGATCTGGGGCCCCTCTACAAACACTCTTGCCAGGCCTAGCAACAGCACGAGAGGAACGCCAACAGGTAGCACACAACCAACATCTCTCTTCCCAGTGCCAGTCATGATCAGGCCCAGGGGTAGGCTTTGGGATCGGAGTGGGCTTGATTCGGGAAATATCAGTCAGGTCCAGACGCGGGGAAAAAACACCATGACATACGCAAAAGCTGGCACACTAATTAGCCGCGAGATGAGCTCAGCCCGCAGCCTCCGCTCCACCTCAGAAATAGAGGGCTGAGGGTGACGGGAAACTGCCTGGCGGGCTGCCAAATCTGCTAGATCAGTACCATTATTCAAAAAGATCTCTTCTTCATAATCAGGTCGGTCTTTCTGGTGCCCTTTACACTTAAAAGAATCCCCAGGAGCCTGACCCAGCGTCTGGAGCATGAATCCAGCATACTGGCGACGATAGGAGGTCCTGGAAGACAAGTGCTCCATAGCTTGCCGCACCACGTTTAAACAATCAGAACATGTAGGGGAACCAGAGCGGAGGAGGACGAGGAGGAGGAGGAGGAGGAGGAGGAGGAGGAGGAGGAGGAGGAGGAGGAAGAGAGGGAAGACTCCAGCAACTTCCACAGCCGCAAGGGTGGCTGGTCCTTGCTTCAGGAGGCGCAAAAAGGCTCGCCCTTCCTGCGCCGGTGATTGATGGCCCTCGTTGGACACGGCACTCTTGTGCGACTCGCCAGCGTGCCGTCCAGCACTGCGGACAAGGACATTCTGGACAGTTTTTGTCCGAGGGCTGGGGAAGTCTCCCCCCCAAAAGCGTTGGCGACAGCGACGCGGGCAGCCGCGGCCTGGCGGCCTCGTCGTCGTATTGGCGTTGCAGGCGCTGCTGGCGGTGCGCGAGAGCCTGGACTCTGGCGTCGGCAGCAGCATAGCTGGTGTCGAGGCTTGGGGCGTCGACAGCCGCGGCCATGGGGCCGAGAAGCCGAAGATGTCGGATTCGTGGACGACCCAGGGCACGGTGCTCACTGGGTGGCCTGGCCCACTGCGCCTGCGCTGGGGCGGCCTGGGCGGCGCGGTCTGGTGGGCCGCGCGTTGTGCGTTGACCTCGGCAACGTTGGCACGTGGGGTGGCGATCCGGGTGGGGCCACGGGCTGGTCAGGGGTTGTCTGTAGCGCACGGGCTTCACCGCGTGGGTGCAGAGGTGTCAGCGGTGTGCAGGGCGCCCAGGTGGTCCGTGGGGACCGGCCCCTATGTGTGGCCCGTGCGCGTGGGTCGGCGCTGCTTCTGCTGCCCGCGACGGTGGCCTGGCACGGCGACTCGTCTGGGGATGGTGAGTGAATGCCGACGTCCCTGAGGGCGTGGCCCCCTTTCCCGCTCGGGCACGCGAGGGGTGGCTGGCCCCTGGACGATCCTGGTGATCGTCTGGGGCAGGGGGCGAGGGCGCGCGAGGCTGACAAGTGACAGCCTGGGCCCACGCAGAGGGCAGGGAGGCGGACTCCCTGCCTGGTGGTGGGGCGGCTGTCTCACGGAGGGTCGTGCCCGTGTTCGTCGGGGTGCTGATGGAGGGAACCGCCGAGGCCGATGGGATCGTGGTCGTCTTCGGCGTCAGGGTATCCGTAGTCGCAAGTTTCCCCGGGAGGGGCCTGGCTGCTGTGTCGCCGGAGGAGCAGCAGGATGACTCCCCGGCCTGGCGCTGCCTCTTCCTGTGCCCGGTGGAGGCCGTGGTTGGTCGTCGTCGCGTGGGTCTAGAAAGCCCCTCCAAGGCCAAGAGGACCGCGGTCGTCCACTTGGTCCAGAAGATCTTCGGCAAAATCGTCCTTTGAGGCTGGCATGAGACGGAATTCGCCTTCTGTGTCCCTGGCCGGCCGATGCTAGAGGAGGGTACGCGCTTGCTTGTCGTAGATGGCGTCGGCCGCACTACGCAGCACAGCGGCGAATATGTGGCGAGCCTTGGCTTCTTGGATGACCTCGGCTGGCAAGTCGTGTAGTGCGACGGTCCAGGTGGCGAGCTCGTCGGCGTGTCGGTTGAAGTGCTCGGCAATGACGGAGGTGAGGCTAGCGTTGATCTTGGCGTGGCCGAGGCGGCTGGCAACCTTTCTTGACGCGGAGCATGTCGGTTCTTGCCTTGACGACCCGGTGTGCTCGCTCCCACAAGTCGTCTAGTGTTCCTGTGGCGGGTGGATGCCCCCCGTCGAGGATGGCTGGAAACCATCGACGACGGCCTGGTTGTCAACGCAGAGGTGGACTGGGCTCTTGGCGGTCGACATGAAGTGGAGAAAGGCCGGTACTTCGCCACGCTGGGCGCTCTGCGACAGCCCGTGGGCCCTGGCCGCGTAGTCGAGGCGGTGCCCGTTGCCATAGTGCATGCCGTAGTTAGGCAGCCCCTGCGAGGGGCTGGTGGGCTTGAAGAGCACAGGCGCCGTCCGTGGCGGCGTAAACCCACTGGCATGCGGCGGTCGGGCCACTTGAGGTTTGGTCGTGGTCCCCGCACTTGTCTTCCTGGGAGGGCCGCGGGGTCGGCCAGTGGAGGGGGTCGTTGTGCAAGGCGGCCTGGATGCCGAGAGCACGCGGCCCTTCTTCGATGAGGCCGCAGTGGAGCGCGTGCCGTGGCAGCACACATCATTGGGCCTGGGTAGCCGCGGTGGTCAGAGGGCGGCCGTTGCCGGGCGAAGCAGGCGCACCGCCAGACTGTATGCCGCCGAGTCTCTTCTCCCAGAACGCACCAGCGACACAACGGCGAAGCCAAACGTTGCAGAGTTGGTCGCCTCTGCAGAGGCAGTTGTACAGGAGGCCTCGTCCCCATTTGGTGAGCTTGACGTGGCCGCTGGTGCGGGCCAGCCATGTGGTAGCGTACATGTCGACCACTCGGGGGACCCCTGAGAGGGAGCCAAGATCGTGCCGATCAGAGCTCAAGTTGCGGAGGAAAGCCCGCCGCTGTGAAGCAAGCAGCATGTGCAGCAGGACGGCCTGCGGCATGCGGACCTGCTGGAGATTGGTGCCATTATCGTCGTGAAGGTTCCGAAAAATGCTCACGTCCAACCGAATTGCGGGATTGCTTGGAAGCGCCGGCCTGTCGGCACGCCCCCGTCCTCGGTCTGCATGGCGCCGTGGAGGAAGGCCGCCAGGGTGACGAGGTTGGCGTCTCTGCGGCACTGGTGGTGCACAGAGACTGGGGCCACCTGTTGCATGACGGCCTGGGGCTCCAACGCATGGCCGTGCACACATGTGGGTGTGAACACTTGGAGACATGTTCAAGTCCGACCCTTGGAATGGAAGGCGGTGACGAGGGCCTGATTGTAGGCCATCTTCCGCCGGGCGCTTTGGGCCTGCACGTCGGGGCCAGTGGCACAGACACTGGCAACGATCGTGCAGGCAGCCTTGGCCTTAGGCGGGGGGGGAAAGAGAAAGAGAGAGAGAGGGAGGGAGAGATCATTAATGCGAGAGAGAGAGAGAGTGTGAGAAAGAGAGTCAAAGAGAAATAGGGAGAGCCAGAACAAGGTACTAAGAAAGAGTCCGTGGGAGAGAAACACCCGTACACGCGTATATACATATAAGAAAAGCAGAGAGAGAGAGAGAACGAGAGAGAGAGAGAGAGGCGAGGGGGGCAAACGTCTGCAACTAGAAGAAAATAGCGACGAAACCTGAAGAGGGAGAAACGGCAGAACGAAAACCATCTGCCGAGTGCGGCAACATCAACCACCGTGCCGCGGGGCTCGCATTGGAGCGCCCTCAAGTCCCTTGAAGATTTCCGTCTTCAGCCCTGAGGACCTTGTCTTTAAGAAGCCGGGCCCACATTCCAGCATTCTCCAAAGCGTCTCGCGTGCTGGCGCATGTCCTCGCCAGATTTTTTGCCCGATGCGAGAAGGCCCCAAGGACGGGCCAAGAGGGCTCCAGAGGCCTCTAAGACGGTCTAGGAGGGTCCCGAAACGGCCCAGGAACGCTCCAAGACGATTGACGCGCCGCTACGGTCTGAGAAATGCCCCAGAGCCCCCCAAGACGCTCCAAAAGGGCCCAACAGGACGTCAAAGAGGGTTCCGAGAGACCCCACTGCGCCCAAATGACTGACTTCCCTCAAGTTGCTCAACATTCTCAGCGCTGCCGATTTTTAGTGTCGTCGACGCTCCAAGACGGCCCAAGAAGCCCCGAAGATCGCCGCAATATGCCGCAAAAAGTCCTCCAAAAGGCCCCATACAGCTTAAGAGGGCCTCGAGACGGCCGCGAAAGCGCCAACACGGTCCAAGAGTCCCAAGAGAAACCCCAGAAACGGGAATCCTAAGAAAATTCAAAACCCTCCATTCGAAGCTGCCCCCATAATGTTAATATTGGTCATCGTGGGTCCCAAACATTGTGTTCTAGCATACTGCATGGTGCAAGCAATGTGGCGCAATCTATGCGATGTAAGCCATGTGATGCAACCAACGTGAATCAATCTAACGTGTAAGCGATGTGGTACAACATAGGTGGCGCGCAATCTAAGTTGTACAAATGCAACACGTGCGGTTTATGCTACGTGCTGCAATACATGTGGAGCTATCGAGCTCACCTATCTGAACTTGTTGGTGTCGGCTATTTGGTGCAATAATATGTGCTCCGATCTACGGGGTGTGAGCTACGTAGTGCAATCTAGGTGGTGCACTCGATGTGGTGCAACGTAGGCTATGCCATCCATGCTGTGCAATCTATGTTAAGCAATGCATGCGGTGTGTAGTATCCGGCGTGGTGCAGGATAGGTGGTGCAAGCTACATAGTGCCATTCACCCTGCCCAACTTGAAGTTGTCAGCTCCACAGCTCGCGCAATCATCCCACCCGCGGGCTCGCAACTTGGTTTTCAAACCAATGCAGCGGCGATTGCGATGACAGCATGGCGCTGGCTGGCGCATCGCTGCGGCCGCGCTCGCGCGCGCAGGCTCGCGCGCAGAGCGGCCAACTAGCCTGGCGCGACCGACGCGGCCGCGGTGGCGCTGACCGCCGGGAACTCCCTAGCGCGTCCCGCTGGCCGCGCTGGCGCGCGGGCACTTCAGTGCGAGTCGGTGATTCGGACGCGGTGTCATGGCGACGTCGGCAACGGCAGACGCGTTAATGATAGTAGCGATGCTGGCGACGATGGTGACGCTGACGACGGCGGGGCCGATGGCGGAGCCGATGCTGGTCACGCCAGAGGATGATTGTCCACGTGTCGGTCATGGAGATTTTGGAAGGGTTTCGATATGTGCGCGCGGTCGACGGGCGCGAGTGGCCCGCATGGATTTCTTTGACAAGGATCGTACCCCCCCCCAGCAAGTACGCGAAGGCGTTCGACTGATTTCGGCATGCGCGCGTGAGAGGCCCGCGTGGTCTCCTTTGGTGAATTGGTTGAAAAACCACTGTTTTTCCCGTTTGAATTCACAAGTGCGCGCGCTGTGGTTTTTGAACAGTCATTTTGCAAGACCATCGGTTTGCATATGATTTCGGGAACCTCGATCTTGACGTTCATGCGAAAGCTGTGGTTTTTGAACAATTTCGACATGCAAACGCGACTCCGCGCGCGTGGACTTTGCCTCAATTTCTGCAAGGAGTTCTTGATAACTAAGGATCCTTGATTAACGGTGATGCCGGCACCGTGGCCCGCCGATAGCCCGGAAAGCTCCCAACCAGCAGCTTTCTCCTCTTCCTCCTCCTCCTCCTCCTCGCCCTCCTCCTCCTCCTCTTCCTGCTCCTCCTCGTCCTCCTCCTCCTCCTCCTGCTCCTCCCCGTCCTCCTGCTCCTCCTCCTCCTCCTCCTCCTCCTCCTCCTCCTCCTCCTCCTCCTCCCTCCTCCTGCTCCTGCTCCTGCTCCTCCTCGTCCTCCTCCTCCTCCTGCTCCTCCTCCCCTCCTCCTCCTCCTCCGCCAACTCCCCCAGGCACTGGGAGGTCGTCTGCCGCGGCTGTGCTCTCGGCCCGGTGACACAGGTCTGGTTAGGAGGCCATACAGGGCAGTTTTTTTTAATACATAGGATGTTTAAACATATAGGATGTTTAATACATGATTAATTTATGAATAAAATTATCCATGAACTCCTCGTTGTTTCTAACACTAAACCCCTGCATTTTTCATACATGATCCGCACGCGGAGCGTGTATTCAAAACGGTTCTGTAGCTTGTCGGAAATTGGTGGTCTGAACGGCTAGCTCCTCCTCCTCCTCCTCAGGGCCACATGAGAGGGACCATCTCACGCTCAGCAGCTCAAAGCCCAGAGATGCGGGAAAGTCTCCGTCGGAACGAGCTGGACCATTTCGAATCTCAGGTTGTCCCAGACCAGAGGTGCGAGCATGTGTCAAGCGAAACGGGCTGCAACACCTCTCGCGCGGCATCAAGGAGCTCAGGGCTGCGAGGATGTTTTCGGCAGAACTGGGCGGGACACCTCAGAATTTGTATTGTTTTGATGCGCAGGTCCTGTAGGCGGAACTCGCTCGCCCCACACAAACCATCACATCCGTTAAAGGCAAAACTAGTGTTCTTGCTGAGATGAAAGTCTAACGAATCTGGCGAGACGTTGCCTGCACACTCGCGGAATTCAATATCCATGTGTCGCACAACGCCCCCCGGCATCCCTGAGCTCAGAATTGCGAGGATGCCTCAGGCGAAACGGGACGGACCACCTCAAGCTGCTGCGTTTACAATCCTGAAATCGCGAGGATGTTTCAAGCGAAATGGGCCGGCCCACCTCTCGCGCGGCATCTGGGAAGTCAGAATCGCGAGGACGTCTCAGGCGAAACGGACTGGACCACCTCAAATCTGGTCGTCTCGGAACGCGGACTTGTGAAGATGTCTTAGGCGAAACGGACCAGGCCACCTCACAGCCTTGAGCGCGTCCACTTCAGTGCAGATTCAATCGCGACTCTTGTGATCGCTGGCGAAGGAAATTGTGTCTGCGTGTGCGTGTGAAACATCTCTGAAACTGGTGCGCCACGAAACCGATCGAGTAGACGAGGATCAGCATCGAGACCAGGGTCATGGTCGAAATCCAGAATCAGGATTTGTTCGGAATCTACCGCCATCGCACCGAAGGACCAAAACATCCGAGGCAGGATACTGGATAAAGACGCCAGAGTCATAACGTGCGGGAGCGCGCGGCCCTCGAGGGAGGGGCCTGAACCACGCACGGAGCGTACATAGCAGTCCTCCTGCGTGCCACCTCCCAGCATCATCGGCGACGACGGCGACGGACATGACGGACACGACGCCATCGACGACGACAACGGCGGCACGCAAACCACCGCCATCCTTCAGGCGCTGCCCGCGCGCCGGAAGCAGCGCGGACAGGTGCACCATGACCTCCCAAAACCTGAACAGGAAGTCCTGCTGGGACGAGAATGATGTCATGATAATTCGGATTGGCTCAGGACAACGTTCCAGGGCTTCAAGAATATCCAACCGCCCTCGTTTCTGCAGCCCGTGTTCAACAACCGAAAAACTGGGAAGTCCTGGATATCTAGGAAAACATCATCGTCATCATCACCACCACAACCATCACCATCACCATCATCATATCATCGTCATCATCATCATCACCATCATCATCGTCATCATCATCACCATCATCATCGTCATTATCATCATCATCAGCATCATCATCATCATCGTCATCATCAGCACCCTCATCATCACCCTCATCATCATCATCATCATCATCATCATCATCATCAGCATCATCATCATCATCATCATCACCACCACCACCACCATCACCATCACCATCACCATCACCATCACCATCACCATCATCATCATCATCATCATCATCATCATCATCATCATCATCATCATCATCATCATCATCATCGTCACCAGCCCCCCCCTCCCAGCGCAACGCAACGCAACCAGGTCCCATAGGGTACCCATGGGGTCCTCGACGGATCCTGTTCGGATCTTATACGTGTCTATAGGGTTTCTAAGGAGTTCCTATAGCCTATAGGAACCCTGCAAGGTTCCCATGGGGTTCCACAGGAGCCTTGCAATGCCCCTATGGACTCCTGGGGATCACCACGGATTATTCGGTAATCCGACAATTCCGAAGGATTCACCAAGATTCTTGGGGATAGCTGAAACATTCCGAGAGGATCCGTGAAGATTGCTGAGAATGCTAGAGGATGTTTTTAGGTTTCCAAGCGGTAGCTGAGGGTTTCTCAAAGATTCCTTCGATTTCTGCAAATTCGTCATAATTCCAACCACTTTCCTGAGGCACACCTTGAGGATTCCTGAGAGATTCCTTACGGAGGCTTGAGGATTCCGCCCAATCCCAGATGCGCGAAGAATCCACAGGGTCCTACATATTATTGACGTTTCCTATGGGTTATGAAGCATTTCCACAGATTCCAAATAGACTCCTGAGGAGTCCGCATGGATACTTGCGGATTCTGATGTGGTCCTGGGGGCTCCTGGGCCTGGGGTGTCCTTTGAATTGCTGAAGGATTTCTCTGGATTCTTTGAACTTCATTGTAGATTCTTGTAGATTCCTGGGGCCTCCCTGCAGGATTCCTGAGGATTCCGAACAAATACCTGAAGGATGCCAATGGGATTCCTGAGGATTCCGAGGCGTCCCCGAAGAGTTTCTCCGGGTTCCCTTGTGTTCCTGAAGCATTGCGTGGGATCCTCAGGATTCCAGGAGGATTCCCGAAGATTCCCCCGGATGTTTGATGTATGCCTGAGGATTCTTGATGGATTCCATCAAAATTCCCACGGATTCGTGAAGATTCCTGAAAGATGCCTGGGAATTCTGGCAGGATTCTAAAGGGATTCCCAGGGGATTCCGTGAGGATCCTGAGGGATTCCTGAAGGATGCATGGAATATTCATGTCTTGAATGTTCCGATTGGATTTCTATGGACCCCGAAGGATCTCAAAGGATTCCAAGGCATTCCCGGGGCCTGGATATTCTCTAAGCATTCTTAAGAGATTCTGGAGGCTTCCCAAAACAGATTTCTTATGACACCGGAGAAATACCCCAATCAGATTTTTGTTGGGGCTATGGGGCTGTAGGGCTAGACAGCTACAAGGTTATGAGGCTATATGGCTATAGGGCTATTGGGCTATGGGGCTATAAGACTGTAGAGCTATAGGGCTATAGGGCTATAAGGCTATGGGGCTATCGGGCTATAGGGCTATTGGGCTATAGGGCTAGAGGGCTATAGGGCTATGGGGCTATAGAACTATAGGGCTATAGGGTTATAGGGATATTGGGCTATATGCTATTGGGCTATTGGGCACCCCAGGCACCCGGGCACCCGGGCCCGGCCACCGAAATCGGCGACCAACCTCGCTGGCCACCTGGGCACCCGGGCACCGCCGGGCACCCGGGCACCCGGGCACCCGGGCCCGGCCACCGAAATCGGCCGCACCTCTCACCTAAACCTTTAATCCGCTAGGACCCCTACAGAGGCAAGCTTTGATTGGGGAATGACCCCTGAAGGATTCGTGGAGGAATCTTGAAGTATTCCTGAGGACTCCTCATGAGGCTTCCTGAAGTTGCCTAAACGATTCTTTTAGGATTCCTGAAGGATGCCTGGAGGACTCCTGGGGGATTCCTGAAGGCTTTTCAATGGGATTCCCTTGCACAGCTGTGTTCTACTTTATTTTCGTCGTCGTTCGTTCGTTCGTCGTTCGTCCTCCCTCCTGGCCGTCCTGGCCTTGCCCTGGACCCAGCCCTCTCCAGCTCCCCTCGCTCTCCCCACCCCGGCCTCCCTAACCCACTCCCTGGACCCAGCCCCCCTTGCTCTCCCCCCGCTGGCCTCCCGTTCGTCGTCCTCCCCCCCCTGCCTTCTTATTTTCGTCGTCGTCGTTCGTTCGCTCGTCGGCAGTCCTGGCCTTGCCCTGGACCCAGCCCTCCCCAGCTCCCCTCGCTCTCCCCCCCTGGCATTGCCCGCTGTGTTCTACAGCTCAGAAGCCCCTCGTGAAGGAATGAGGCGGGAGCCTCCTGTCCTTCGCAGCTCCTTTGTGCAAAAGCCAGGGCACGCGTGCCACTTGTTCCTATGGGCCCCGAAGGATGTCAAAGATTCCTATGGATTCCTGGGGCCTGGGGATTCGCCAAGGATTCTCAAGGGATTCCTGAGGATTCTCAAGAAGGGTTCCTGCTGACTCCAGAAGGATGCTTGTAGGATGCCTGGAGGATTCCTGGGGGATGCTTGAAGGATTCCTGAACAGTCCTGGATAATGTTTGAAGGTGTTTGAAGGATTTCTGGAGGTTTCTTGATGGATTTTCGAAGATTTCATACGATGCTGGATGACTCATGAGGATGCATGAGGTATCCTTCGGGTTTCTGATGATTCCTGCAGGATTCTTGGGGAACTCCTGGAAGACTCCTGCAAATTTCAGTGGGATCCGTACGCGTCCCGAAAAATCTCGAAGGATTCCAGAAGATTCCTGGGGCCCGGGATCCGTGAGGGCCCGTAGGGAGGATCCCAGATGACTCCTGACGAATTCCTGGGGGATGCCTGGAAAGAATTCCTGGGGGATTCCTGAGGTTTCCTGAAGATTCCTGGAGGATTCTTGAAGGATTCCTGAAGGATTCTGTAAGGATTCTGGAGGATTGCCTACGATGTTGGAGGACTCCTGAGGATTGCTGAGGTCTCTTGCGGGTTCCTGTGGATTCTTGTGGATTCCGAAAGGATCCCTGCAGGATTCCTGAAGGTTCCCCGAAAAGTCCCACGAAGGTTTTTATGGGACCCCAAGTATTTTCGAAGAATTCCGTCGGATTCTTCAGGATTCCTGAAGGTTCATGGGGGGTCCTTTGGGATTTCCATGGGTTCCATGCCCCAGGTTTCTTGGAGACTCCGAATGCCTAATCCTGACGGACCTGGAGGATTTCTGAAGGATTTGATGAAGATTCTTGTGGATCAACGTATCTACACATTAGCATTGCACGCTCTCGCACACTCTCAACAACAGCGGCACCAACAGCAACAACAACAGCAGTAACACCACCACCAACACCAGCACCAACACCGCCAACAACACCAACACCAACAAGCACAACAACACCAACACCAACACCAACAGCAACGACAACAAAAACAACGCCACCAACATCAACAACAACACCAACAGCAGCAACATCAACATCAACAACAACACCAACACGAACAACACCAACAACAACAGCAGCAACAGCAACACCACCACCAGCAGCACCAACAACCACAACCCTCAGCACAGCAGCATCACCAACAACAGAAGAAGCAGCAACACCACAACCAACAACAAGAACAGCAACACCAGCAACAACAACATCAACAACATCACCATCAACACCACCAGCAACAGAAACACCACCACCACCAACAACAATACCACCACCAACACTACCACCAGCAACAACATCAACAACAACAACACCAACACCAACATGAACAACAACAAACACAACGGCACCAACAACACCAACAGCAACAAACACCACCACCAACACCACCACCACCAGCAGCACCAACACCAACACACATAGTAACACCAACAACAACAACAACAACAACAGCATCAGCACCACCACCAACAACACCACCACCAACAACAACAACAGCAACAACTCCAGGAATCCTCAGGGAATCTCAGGAATCCTTAGGAAATCTCTAAAAGGACCGTTCACGGATCCTCCAGGAATCCTTCAGAAATCCTTCGGGGATACTCTGTAATCCTTTGGACCCCTTCAAGTCCTCAGGAACCCTCAGGCATCTTCAAGAATCCGTAGTAATCCTCTGGAACCCACAGGAATCCGAAAGCATCCTCCCAAATCCACAAGGATCCGGTGGAACCCGTAGACATCCGTGGGGATCCTGAGGATTTAAGGAATTGTTAAGCTTTGGTCTGGGATCCTTCAGAAATCCTCAGGAATCCATCAGGAATCCGAAGGACCCCGGGGAGTCTCAATGAACCCTGTGGAACACCCCAAAAAGCTTCTCGAGTCGGAATGATCCCAAAGAAATCCCCCAACATCTTTCAGTAAGCTGCAGCAACATGCCAGGAACCCGCAGGAATCCTTCAGGAAGCTGAGTAGAACTCCTCACGAATCCTTCATGAAACCTGAACCCCCCTGAGAATCCCAGAGGAAGCCTTCGGGAATTCTCTCAGGGAGCCCTTGGGGCATCCGCCAGACATTCCTCAAGAATCCTTAAGGAAACTTCGGGCCTCCTTCAGAAGCCATAGAGATCTTTTCGGAATCCTTAGAACCCTCAAGAATCCAGAGGAAATCCTGGGAATTCCTTCGGAATCCACCAGCATTCCTAAGGAAGCCTCGGGAATCCTTTCTGGGAACCCTTGGGGCATCCGTCAGACATTCCTCAGGAATCCAGCCGGAATTTCTCGGA